CACATGTCTCTCCATTCAACATATGAAGCAAGGGTCAGGGGCTAAGAGGTTTGCATAAAGTCATATGGCATGTTGACAGAGAGGTACTAGAAAGAGAATCTAGGATGTTCCACTATGCAAGCTCCAAATTGCATGCCCAAAATAGCAAATTAAGACAAAGCAGTATATTGAAACCTCCAGGCAAGATTTCTCTTCAGTTAGAAATAAAATAAGCTGGTTAATCACAGCACAGAGAAAAAAAAAAAAGATGGCAGCATAATGAAAAGAAACTGTTCTTAAGGATTTAAAGTGAAGGCAAAATTTTACAATGTAGAGCTTTCCATTAACACTGAACAGAGGCTGATTTTAAATTCGGATGGTGACTGGGGGGGGTAGGGGGGGCTCCTAGTAACCAGAAAGATGCTGGCAATTAGTAGAAAATTAATAACACCCTTTCTGAAATTCTGCATAGAAGGCTGGGAAAGTTGTTGGTTAAGTTTCCAGGAAACCATTTAACAAATAAATGTAGAAGCTTGGCCAAAGGATGCTCCATTAGTATACCAAATGAGCACTAGGTATTTGGACAGTTTCTAATAACAAGATTAACAGGAATCTATTTTGTGCCATGGTATTTCAGCTAACTGCTATTAGTCTGGGGTATCTATCTGCAACCTGAACTCCCCAAAGGTAATCAACTGAATTTTTCATGCAGACCTCACTCCTTTCTTTCTCCCTTGGAAAGAACCCCTATTCTGAATTATATAATCACTTGTTTTTCTTTCTTCTTTTATCATATTTTAGAATCCCTAAACAATTTTTACTTTTTAAAAATATGTTTTTATCGACTTTAGAGAAGGGGAAGGGAGAGAGAAACATTGAGAGAAATATGGCTGCCTTCTGCATGCTCCCCGATCAGGAATCGAACCACCAACTTTTTGGTGCATCGGACAACACTCAACCAACTGAGCCACACTGGCCAGGGCTGTTCCTGAGTATTGCATGCAGCTTTAAATCATTCCTTTTCTAAGTGTGTTTTTCTACTATAAAGGGACTTCTAGGTTGTTCCCAATTTTCTGCTATTATAAATAATGCTACTATAAACATTCTTGTGCCTACTCTTTGATATACGGATGTGTAAGAGTTTCTCTAGTCTAGGGTATAGACCTAGAAGTGGAACTGCTGGAGCATACTATCTGTTCATGTTTAACTGTATTCTATAATTCCAAATTGTTTTCCAAAGTGGTTGTACCTATTTACATTCTCTCCAAGCAGTAGTATTTTGTAAGTAAATAGTAAGTATTTAATAGCTTCTTTATCAAACGTTGCTTAACGGTAGGCTGATTAATCTCTTGGTTTTATTGTTAACCATTTCCTGGGCATCTTTAGAGAGGAAAACACATAGGACATCGACTTACCAAGTAAAGGTACTTTATTTTGCAGCAACTCACAGTAGCTTGTGGTGAGGATTCCAATGGGATTACTTGGGACAAACCGTCCTTCTTTTACTAACCGTTCACATGTCCGCATTAAAGTCCCTGAGAACTGAGACGGATCAACTCCATAGTCTCTCCATCCTCCTACACCATCTGCAACCCCTAAAAAAAAAAAATTACATTTAAAGGATGTTCTTACCAACTTTTCAGGAATTCCTACCCATCTCCTCCTGACAGTTCATTTTACTACATACCAGTAAACATATTTACCCTGGAATTCAGAATAAAAAGTGCTCAAGTTTGATATATTATACTCTAATACTCCTAAGTCATATTCTCTAACTTAGAATTTGATCTTTCATATATTTATGAATAAACATGCGAGCTACCACAGAGTAGCATTGCCTACCAGCCAAGAGTACAATTTCAACAGGATTATTATTGTATAGAAGAAATTTGTGCTATTAATTTTTGTTGTATTTTATAAGAACATAAAATGATTTTTTAAAAAAAGAGTTCTGATGCTAATGACAATGCAACTGATCCACAGCTGGCAGTCATTAAGAATACCAAAAGCTGCAATCTTTTAACTTTAAAAATTAGCCAATAACTGTAAAATAAAGAACAAATTTAAGAATATATCCCATTCCCTTTCCTCCTCCCTAACCACTATCCTGTCCAGGGCTGAGCTTTCCAATAAAACAGCCACTACCACATGTTGCCAGTGAGCCTTGAAATGGGGCTGATCCAAACTGAGATGTACTCTAAGTATAAAATGCACACTGGAGTTTGAAAACTTGATATGAAAAAAGAGGGTCAACTATCTCATTAACTTCTATATTGATTACATGTTGAAATAATATTTGGGATATAATGTGTTAAAGAGAATACATTATTAAAATCAATAGCATCTGTGTTTTATTTTTAATTAATGTATAATAAAAAAGTCTCAATAGTAATAAGGATAGTAAGAAAAAAATATCCTTCTGCCTGCTGTGGAGAGCAACAGTGGAAAGAAGGGATGAGTCAGGAGTCTCAGCAACTCCATTATGAAATGGTGGCAGTGCAGTTAGAGTGCAGGGATTTGGGATCTGGTCAAACAAAAGGACTTACAGGTGAACTGGATGGGGAGGGAGGTGGGGGCA